CAGTGACACTGTAATTTAACTTTTATCTGGTAATTAGATGCAACAGTCGTTTTTAATTCAGAATTGCAATTTGACAACGCAATTAGCAACTCGCAAAGGCTGCAATTTAAAAAATACACAAAATACCACACATCTGACTGTAGGTTTCAAGCGTAATTTAACTTAGTGGCCTCATCACATAACTAATCAATATATTCAATAACTGATTAATGGACACAATAATTGCAGTAGAGGAAAAAAAATGCCTTGTGCCTTTTGACTCAAGTATTCAACACCAACATCCACCAATAATTCAGTTGTTTAAAAAATACACACGTGGACGACATTGTTGGTACCTCTCGGTTAATGAAAGAAAAACCCACAACGGTCACAGAAATAACTTGAATCTGACAAAAGTAATAATAAATAAAAATTCTACGAAAATTAACCAATGAAAATCAGACATTGCTTTTGAACCGTGGTTCAACAAAATTATTTTTAAAAATAAACTCATGAAACAGGCCTGGACAAAAATGACAGTACCCTTAGAAAAGACTGAAAATAATGTGACCATAGGGCCATGTTCAATCAAGGTGTGTCCTCTAATTAGCATCATACATCCTACGTGTCTACAAACTTGTGATCAGTCAGTCAGCCTATTTATAGGGTTACAAGTAGTCACTGTGCCGTTTGGTGACATAGTGTGTACCATACTAAACATGAACCAGAGGAAGCAAAGGAGAGAGTTGTGTCAGGAGTTAAGAAAATTATTGACAAGCATGTTAAAGGTAAAGGCTATAAGACCATCTTCAAGCAGCTTGATGTTCCTGTGACTGCAGCTGCACATATTATTCAGAAATTTAAGATCCATGGGACTGTAGCCAACCTCCCTAGACGTGGCCGCAGGAGGAAAATTGATGAAAAATCCAAGAGACGGATAATACGAATGGTAACAAAAGAGCTCAGAACAACTTCTAAAGACATTAAAGGTGAACTCCAAGGTCAAGGTACATCAGAGTCAGATTGAACCATCTGTCGTTGTTTGAGCCAAAGTGGACTTCATGGGAGACGACCAAGGAGGACACCATTGTTGAAAACAAATCATAAAAAGCCAGACTGGAATTTGCCAAACTGCATGTTGACAAGCCACAAAGCTTCTGGCAGAATGTCCTATGGACAGATGACACAAAACTGGAACTTTTTAGCAAGGCACATCAGCTCCATGTTCACAGACGCAAACATGAAGCATATCAAGAAAAGAACACTGTCCCTACTGTGAAACATGGAGGAAGCTCTGTTATGTTCTGGGGCTGCTTTGCTGCATCTGGCACAGGGTGACTTGAATCCGTGCAGAGTACAATGAAATCTCAAGACTATCAAGATGTTCTAGAGAGAATGTGCTGCCCAGTGTCAGAAAGCTTGGTCTCAGTCACAGGTCATGGGTTTTGCCACAGGATAATGACCCAAAACACAGCTAAAAACACCCAAGAATGGCTAAGAGGAAACCTTGGGACTTTTCTGAAGTGGCCTTCTATGAGCCCTGATCTAAATCCTATTCAACAACTGTGGAAGGAGCTGAAACATGCCGTCTGGAGAAGGCACCCTTCAATCCTGAGACAACTGGAGCAGTCTGCTCATGAGGAGTGGGCCAAAATACCTGCTGAGAAGTGCAGAAGTCTCACTGACAGTTGCAGAAATCGTTTGATTGCAGTGATTGCTTCAATAGATTGTGCAACAAAATATTAAGTTTAGGGTAACATCATTTTTGTCCAGGCCTGTTTCATGAGTTTATTTTTAACTAATTCTGTTAAATCACGGTTCAAAAGCAATGTCTGCTTTTCATTGAATTTTTATTTATTATTACTTTTGTCAGATTCAAGTTATTTCTGTGACCATTGTGGGTTTTTCTTTCATCAACCGAGAGGTACCAACAATGTCGTCCACGTGTGTATAACTACACTCAAAATGAGGGCAAATAAATGACATATTTACATTGTGAGCGTTAATTTAACAACACCAGCTATGAATCTCTTGATTGAACCACCAACCGCGCACATATTTTTCTTTAAACAACCATTCTCAAGGGCCAAAACAGAGTAAGCATCATGGTGGAAAGATGTGCATAATTCAAACCAGTCAAGTAACTCTGAATTCACCATCAGAGAGGTTCCCTCTCACAATAGTCGAATCTCTACTGTTGAGTGCCTTCAATGCACATTACTGTAACAGTTCAGTGTAAAGCTTTAGAGCCAGTGAATGCAATTCTCACCCGAACTGTCTTGAGGGCAGCAGATTGTTCTGCCACTTCTCCAGGTCCTTGAGCTGGAGATCAAAACGTGGACTGATCACGCCACACTGAAAGCAGAAAGAAACACTGGTTTACACTCCACATTCACGTAAAAGGTATAAGAAAAAACAAGGAAAGGCTACAAGTTAACACAAACATCTTTAATCTTCCCCTTAGCTGAGTTAGAAAGCTGTTGAATTTACTTTTTCAGAAACAGAGAAAGAACAAGGCCAAGTGTACACCTTGCTTCAGAGCAACAGCAAACGTTTTTAATAAGAAAATAAATTTAGGTCTAGAGGCATTTAGAAAAGAAACTTTTTCCAAACCTAAAGGGAACCATTGGCAACAGATGCAACCAAAACAAATTTCCTATTGAAATCTACTTTAGCATTAAGACAGCTGGCTTTACCATACATAATAAGAATCTTAAAAGCAGAAAAGCATAGTGATGCCTACAGTTAGGTTAACCTTACCTTGTTCAGCCTGCCTGTGAGATTGACAACAATTTTTCCGGCTCTATGGTCGTCAATGATCTCAAACTCACCAATGTAACCTGCAGGTACAAATGACAAAGAATAATTTTAATGAGTAAAGCAAAACATGCGATTCCATATCTTATTTGCAATTGTCAATAACCCTGTTAGTCACTCAAAGTATTCCTGCATCATCAGAATCTGCATAATTTGCACCTAGGTTATGGTTCAGTTTAAACATGCTCTTACATATAACTACAGCTGTACAGAGTCGTTAAACCTTCATTTTGCTTTTTGTTTTTTTTAATTGTTGCTCTTGTTTTTAAGCATTTTTTTGTTAATTTTGTCTAGTGAAATAGGAAAAAAAAATCTGTCAAATTCAATGTTTATGTGCATATGACAGCAAAGCTTAATCTCCTAACACCTCATGGCTCTGCAGCCATCACCAGTCCTCGAAAAACTTTGCCAACATCATGCCCACACTTCCACCAACTACATCTCCTGTACATAGTTCTACTCCGCAATATCAACTCAAGACATGCTCATATCTGTTAACAAAATAAAGAACACTCACCGTGCTTCATCATGACGGTTAGGAAGCGCACAATCACCTTGGAGCAGGGCCTGATGAGGACCTGGCGTTTCCCACGCTTCTCAGCATTGTTGATGCTTTTAAGAGCATCCGCGAGAACGTTCATGCGCACCATGATGCCTGCAGACACATCCAAAGGAAATCGTCAGGTTTCAGAATTATGATGCAACGCGAGCTTGAATAGAAGACATTTATATTCCCATCTCGTGAATCATCGCCGTCGTTGTTTTACAGTTTCCAGAAGTGAGATCTAGCCAAGGACCACTTTTCTCAAGACTTAAGTTATTTTCCTTAAATAACAGCACACTGAGACTGAGGTACACATGCAAACACTAATAAACTGCAAAATGGTAACTAACCTGTAAAAGATTAGTTACGACCAGCACAGCCTCGCTAGCACAAATTGTATCTCGACAATATCCTTCTCCCTCAGATATACCAACTACCTGGCTTACATCAGCCTGTTAAACATTAGGTAAACACATTTCTGCCACAAGACACATTTTACTCGCTGCTTTAACTTCAGCTACACCGAGTTAGAGAAACGCAGCCTCCCACCAAAGCATGGTCCTTCACCAGCTCTCAGGATAGCTGGCTAGCTTAGCTAACCACAATTGAAATGCAGTGGGCTAACATTTACACGTATAATTACTAACACCATGTCGACCAAGTACAAAAAGACTCCCCAATGGACATCGAAGCAAAGGTTATATATTCTTTTTATTTTAAATTAAAACACACCTCGTTTGTAGCAAAGCCAACAGTTATCAAGGCGCTTAGAACGCACCGATTCCCCGGGCCGGCCAGGGGAGCTGCTGGCTGGACTTTGTAAGCCAAATGTGTTTTAATCGTCTCACAAATGGAGACGATACTTATTCCAAATCATTACTACGTGTCTTCACTTTATTATGGGAAAATAAATGGAATATTTAACACTCAGATGCTTTAGATACGTGAAAGATTGAAGGTAACAGTAAAGAAAGACATCTTACCGGTTCTGCAATATGGCGGAAAGAGGAAGTAGGAAAAAACTGCAATGCATTATGGGAAAGTATCCAAGACGTGTTCACATCGAGATGTCTCACTCCGCCTCGAAAATAGCGCCCAATATAAAAGTACACAGAGCACGTTCTCACATATATCAATTAACAGAAATTGCATTTAAATGCGTAAGGCAGAGGTCTGATCGCACACGTTTAAATTCATTCATAAATTTTAGTCAAAAGGATACCTTACTCACCTAAATTGTCATTTTAATTTCATATCAAAACAAAAGCAGCGCCAACCAGTGATAAAGATGAATAACTGCATCAGATCAAAATCAGTTTTACTGCCAGTAAATAGTTATACTACGTTAGGCTTTCACACAAGAGAACTTTCACTTAGTGTGTTAAGGCATAACAGCAAACATAGACATGTAGAAAATTAAGTGAGACAGCTGTACAGACTGTGCAGGAATGTGCAAAGTATTTACCAGTGAATTTGCAAAATCTCACAGTATGTAGTGTAAACACCTTAATGTGAGCAAGGATTATATAAATAATCCAATTAAATTATACAAATTATACATTACTCTGATGTGTCCTGTATCTATATGAGCATTTTTTTTACTCCATGTTCCACAAATATCAAGAGCATGAAAGAGTCCACACAGTCAGAGCCAATTCATATTTTTATTCTCCTGTTTTAACATGTGCAGCAGCTCAGTTATTACAGTACCTAAATGAAAATAAAACATACAGTAACATCTGTAAATGCCTGGCAAAACTAGCACGGCATAATGGAAGAAAGCATGTTTGACAACACGGAAAGGACTGCAATACAAATAGTCTGTATTATGTCAATAGATATAGGCTATCCCAACTGAGCAGTGAATGACCACAGCGTTATCTTTATTTTGAAGACTTCCCATGTCAAATATGTGCTTTGGATTTTTTTTTCTACATATATTGCCCACTACAAATAAGAGCAAACTATTTTAGTGAGGCAATTATTGTGTTCTGCTTGCCAACACAGAAATATGTCAATAACTCATCACGGTTCTGTCTTGCATGCATTGAAAATATGGATATATAGATAATATTTAAGATATATGTTAGCATAGCATCAGGAGCTAAAGACTGAATATCAGCATTGTCTTCAAAATGTGTGTGCAAAAAATTACTGAGTCAGTATGAATGCAGTTTTTTGTGTTTTTTTTCTCCGATCAGGCAAACAGCTGACTTTTAAGTTATTTTTGATATGATCAAAATTTGGCACATAACGAATAAGGTCCTATAATATCAGATGACTGTTAAATAGTAAGAGTACAAATATTGTTTTATTCAAAGCCAATTTAAATGCTATACAATATGGCGCACAAATGTATATTTGTCTCATCTAAACAAAATGTTTGTGCCTCGGATAGTTTGTGGAGTCTCTACTCATTAAAACTCTACTACAATGCTCTGATGGTAAATGTTCCTGTAGAGGATGAAAGTGTGTTGTAGGAGGTTATGTCCAGTCATCTGCTAAAACTCAAAGCTCTTTGACCGGTACGGTTCAAACAACTTTGGTTTAGTCCGAAAGCTCTTTCCTCTGATGTCCAGTAGAGGGCCCGCTAAACCACTCAAACCCAGACGCAGCGACATACCCACCAGCCACAAATTTAACAGACATGTGGAGCATAATGGAATGCTGAGCAGCACAAGACATAGTAACCAGATTTTTGCAGGATTTCTATGGTTACATTAAATATTCAACTTTTTTTTTTTTTCATCTACTAAGCCTTTGTTTGGCTATCTTCTAATATCTCTTCCATTTTGACACTTAGCCACCATTGCTGACCATGCTGGCCAAAGAATCTGCATCTCCCTGGGGATCCAAGTCCAGCTTCTGGAGGTCAAGGCCCATGGCTACCAGCATCTGGAGCAGGGTAAGCTCCTGCTGGGTGGCCTGGTCCACCAAGGCTGGGCAGGTGGGGTTGCACTGGGGCCACTGGCAGGTGTCCACCAGGTGGAAAGGACAACCTTTGGCAGGGGTCCTGTTGTTGCGTGTTGCCTCCAGACTCCTGTCCCAGCATTGCAGGGCCCTCGGCAGAGAGGTGCCTCTAACTTGGAAAGTCATCCAGTTGCTTGATAAAAGATGAGACGGAGAGGTTACAAGTTGGAAATAAAGAAAGAGGCCATTTAAGGAAGAAAATAAAAGGATCAGGTAAGGCATTGGGGTTAGCGACTAAAGACTAGGAAGGTGGTAACAGCGACATAAAAGGAAGTTGTTTTGGAGAGTTTTGGCTCATTGTCCTGATGCCGCAAGTGTTATGTCACAGAACTGCAACTACTAAATTATATACAACGACCTTTCACACTCAGCTCTTCCCATAGGACTTGTTATCCTAAATAAATACACCTAACTCAATCTGACTCTTTAAACCGAGCTAAGACTGCACTGATCCATCAAAGTCCATGTGAGCAGTAAAAGAATGAACGTGTTCTATGGGTATTGAAAAGTTAGGGAGGGTGTAAAATGGTATTTGATGACATGAAGAATGTAGCATGATGAACAAGCAACCAGAAACAGCAGCGAGGCAGGTGTAAAACTACCACTGGAGGCAAATATCCACTTTTACCTTTTAGTAATTACAGTGTGGGAGAGGCAGGATGGAGCAAAGACACCCCTGAAAGACACAAGCAGCAGAGATCAGTCATCGCTAGTAGATGGATTTAGTGTTGGTAATAATTTGGACAAAAAGTGGCAATATGCTCATCTTCCAACTAAGCTGTGAAGAACTTACGTAACATCTCTCAGGGAGTTTTTGAGCTCCAAGCCCAGGTTCTGGATGTACTGCCACTGCTCCTCCGACAGACTCTGTCCTCCCATGTAGATGTTCTCCACTCTGAGCTGCTCCTCGTCAAACAGCCACTGCACGACAAACAGAGGCGCTGCAGGGAAAACAAAGAGTTACAGATGCTCTGGTCAGTGTAATCAGTCAGTTAGTCTGAACTGTATGTACCAAAAATGGAATTACTTATTGTCAAACAGCAGAAAGACTAGTTGTAGACTAGCTAGTCAGCCAGCTGTTTCCCACATAAGTTGACGGGGGCGAAAATGGAGCCAAAAGAAGAGGCCATATTGGATTTGTATTCATCAGGTGCAGTGTGCAAACTATGCCATTGCTTTGGGGGAAGGTCACCAACTTTTCCCAAAAGAACCAATACAGTATTCATAAAGCACTCAATTTAGCTTCTTTTTTTCAATCATTATTCAGGTCTCTGCTAAGAATTGCAGTAGAAGACAGCGAAAGGATGGATCTTGTTGCTTCTCAGAGTTGATCGGCTTAGATTCTTTTGGTAAATCCAAATATGTGAGTAAGCTGCCTTGTCCTTTTAATCTGTATCCACTTGTAGAATGACAAATGTTCTCCATCTCTGTCTTTTTTTTTCTTTTTTTTTTAAATTATTATTTATTTATTTTCTTTTTTACAGTAGATACTAGGGAGGAGTGAGAGTGCCACATTACAAAAATAAATAAATTAATTAATTTAAAGCAACATTTAAAAGCAAAGGAAAGATGTGCAGAAAAAGGTGCGCAGTAGGAATGTCGTTGTGCCCAGGTGCAGATGGAATAGTACGCAAGTATGGACTTGCCTCCTTGAGTATTGAGAAACAGCCATAAATATATATAATAAAGGCTAGATGTCTTAAGGCGCCGTTTCGAAGGGGATCACCCTTTGACCATCTTGATTTGGGGCGGCTCTCTGGCGGAACCTGTGGTACGTGAAGGAAGGTGAGCTGCACAAACGTAAATACTCTTATCTCGCTGAAATCTTGACGGATTTACAAACGGTTTGGTTTCTTACAAACGTTATTAACGTGGCTACAATTCAAATTACAAAAATACAAATAAAACACAAAATAATTAAAATACTAATTGTTGCTACCCGTGAGAGTGTAACATAATTATCCATAAGTGCAGTGTTATAACTACACCTCTGACGTTTATAAGAAACCAAACTGTTTGAAAATTGGTAGAAAACTGAGCAAGTTATGGTTATTTAAAAAGTACATGCAACACTACAACACAATCAAGATGGCTGCCAGTGTGCCGTGCAATTCCATTGGCCGACAGCGCGGACGAGACATCTATCCTTTATTATATATACCTATGGAAAAGGCTTTGTGTAGACTTGGGACAGCAAGTATCCCAGAATGCATTTTGCGCCAACCAGCAATAAAAGCCGAAGAGAAAACTTTCAAAGGTAACACAAGTTTTTTTTTGTAATTACTACTGTTATTGTGACACATAATGTAGTTTTAGGATTATTTCAGGTGAGAAAGTAGTGGTATAAACATCAAATCTGTGGTCAATGGATCAAGATAAAGCCTGCTTCAAATTTTGCTTCAACGATTTCGGAGATGTGACTGTCCCGGTTTGACAGCTGTGACGGCGGTCTGCGTTCGCAGAAGCCGCCGAGGACAGCCTTACATCAGCAAGACTTTCTGAAATCTGCCACTGGCTCTGACGGTTCTGTAGCAGTGGTACCTTTGTTCATCTGAATTCTATTCTTGTCTTCATCACCTCTAGTACTATTTTGCACAAATCTTATGACTGTAATTGTGCGTTGAAAATAAAATCTAAGTAATATTTGATTGGAGGGACAGCTGGATAAAACAGGTCCTCACTGACTGCTGGGAGACTCCACAGAACATGAGCAGCTCCATCCTGGACCTTCTGACAAAGCATCTTCAGCAGCATGATGCTGTTAATGGAAACTGATCAACTCCACTAAAGAACAACCATCAGAGCCAGCAGCAGATCTCAGAAAATCTTGCCGACATAAGGCTGCTCGCAGTGGCTACTGTGAGCGCTGACCACCGTCACAGCTGTCAAACCGGGACGCTCACATCTCTGAAATTGTCGGAGCAAAATTTTAAGCAAGCTTTATCTTGATCCATTGACCACAGATTTGATGTTTATACCACTACTAAAATAATCTTAAAACTACATTGTGTGTCACAATAACAGTAGTAGTTACAAAAAAAAAAAATTGTGTTACCTTTGAAAGTTTTCTCCTCGGCTTTTGGCGCGAAATGCATTCTGGGATACTTGTTGTCCCAAGTCTACACAATACTCAAGGTGGCAAGTCCATACTTGCGCAATATTCCTTCTGCGCCTGCGCAAAACGAAATTCCTACTGTGCACCTTTTTCTACACATCTTTCCTTTGCTTTTAAATGTTGCTTTAAATTAAATGTCGCTTTGAATTAAATTTAGCTTTAAAAGCAAAAAAAAAAAAAAAAAGAAAAAATGATTAAAAAACAATTTAAAAAATTAAATTAAAAAATAAAATTATTTAAAAAAATAAACAAATAAATGGAAAAACAATAAATAAATGAATAAATTATTATTATGTTTCTTTTTATTTCCACTTTTATTTTGTTTATTCTTTTATTGACTTATTTTTGTAATTTGGCACTCTACAGTTTTACAGATACAGTTTTAATAGATGAGTTATGGATCCAGGAGATGTTTGTCCTAATCATGTCTCTGAGGTACAAATATGGAAATCAGTCCGTTCACTTTCAGCTTCTGTGTAAATGAAACTCACGACTCTCATATTTCAGTGCACATTATTTTCGAACAGCTCCAGTCAGTTATATGGCCTGCTATTCCAACACCATGATAAACAAAGCCAGCACTCACAGGTCAAGGTGGAGTATAGTTTGTGACCAAAGAAGCACTGCCATTCCTCCCCTCTCTTATAGAGCCGGCGACATCTATCAGGCACAACCCCATTCCACAGCCTGAAAAAACCATGATAAATAAAAGAAATACCAATTTACAAATCAGCGTAGAAACATTTATTTCAGATTCACATCTGGCTTATTAAAGAGACATAAAATCTCCTTAAAAGTCCTCACCTGAGTCCTATCTTGATTGCATCTTCAGGTGAGCAGGAGACTGTCTCGGGGCAGTTCGGTGATCTCTGCTGCTTGCTCTCCAGAAACCAGCCAGAGTCCACCAGGCCTCGGACCTGAGCCTCTGCACCGAGCTGTTCCAGCTGATTAGCCACCCTCTCAATGTTTAACAAAACACCTGTTCCACCAGCACTGCAGGGGAGCCAAGAAAATCACTGAATAGTTTGGCTTTGAGACCAGGATTTTTGCAAAGGGTATCAGAATGACAGCGCATGCCAGCTAATAGCAGGAAAGTGAAGATTTAGCAGCATCACATTCAGACAGTGGATCCTGTTTTAGGACTTGGTGATGTCCCAACAACCATGTTGCTAACCTGGGAGGAATGTTCACCATAACAGGGCAAGGCCCTTTAATAAGCATTATGTCACTGATCACAGGTGACTGTTAACATCTTTATTGTTGACAAGAGGGTGAAAACCCAAACAGGGCTTCTCCTGTTTAATGTTAGGCATGGAGATGGTCCAGATGGTACAGCGGATGGAGGATCTTGTCCAAAAGCTGTCGTAACCATCTGAGCATAAGCAATAACACAAACTCACCTTGTGCCAGACAGCATGACAACCTTGGCCTGCTTGATTCCTTTGGGGATGAGATCTTTGATGACCTCTCGGATGATCAGGGAGCCCATGAAGTTATACTCAGCTAATAACACAGATGGATGTCAAATGATTAGGCACTTCCGATTAGAGTATTCATGTGCAATCAAAGGAGGCACAGATCTGAGGAAAAAAATACTGAAGGAGATGAAGAAACTTACTTGCATTTGTATTTCTATCTCTGTCTTTCTCTCTGCCTTGCCGTGGTCTTGGAGGGGGTGTTGGGGCAGGGCCAGTGCCACTCCATACATCGCTGGAACAGTATGGGATGAATCTGTAGTAAAGAACAGAATCACATTTGTTAGACTAAAACTGGAGATCTCGAGTCATTTTCTTATCTCCTCCATGAAAATCATCTGAGGTTACAGCTGATTTCTACTCCCACATATCAGAAACTGGCAAAACATTATTCTGATTACTTCATATTATTCTGTTGAATCCTACAATATAAACGTTTAAAAAAAAATGCCCATCATAAATGCGAAAGTTAGGTACAAAAGTCAAAGGATACTTGTCATAATAGCTGAGAAATGGTGCACTTTATTGCTTCTGAATGCAACTTTGCTTTTGCAAGAAGATGCAAATGTCCGTTCACATGTTAATTAGGCCCACTTTAAAGCTGCACTGATGAACATATCCATATAAACAATGCACCAAATGAGTGTCTTTAACATGATAAGAGTCACTCATAGTACCCAACCCACAGAGTGCAACTCCTCTCTGCTCTGTTGAACTTTTGTTTTGTTTTGTTTTAGTTTATTTTAGGTTTTTGTCTCAGTTTTACAGCCTCCAGCTTTACTGTTTTAATTCAGTCTCACAGCTCTCATCAACCTAGCTTCGAGTTGTATTAAGCAGGTGAGTCTGGTGGTTGACTAAATGTGCAGACTTTGTAACTACGTGTTTTTATGCCAATACTTGTCCCACTACCTAGAATTGATCAAAAAAAAAATTACCTAATGCAGCTTTATTTTAAAAATCTGAATATAGGCACAAACAGACTGTTGTTTTGCATGAGACTGGTGTATTTATAATGTTCAGTGAGCAGGAAGTCCAGCTCTCACAAACTTTGGTAGCCACAATATTACAACACTCAATGATACAGGTACGTACACAATGTTTGCATTATGCCAGTGGGGGTTTTCCTCTGCTTGGGAGGACAATATTCCACTTCCTGTAACAAAAACAAACACCCATCAGACAGATGTCCTCCTGGCTCTCTCACTCCAGAAAGTAAACCTATGAAACGTGTATGACATGCATTCTAAAACACGGCCAGCTGACCTACCTCTTTTAGTTTGGGGCCACCCTGATGAGCTCATTAGTCGGGGGATATTTTGGTACCTGGAATCGCAGGTCTCTTTGCTGTAGCAGCACCAGCCACCTAAAAATAATAGAGACTAATATTAGACATTCACATCCGAGAGAGGGACACCCTTGTTAGCCTATCAGAGGCCTGTGAGGAATGGAGAGGGAAATGGATGCACCTGTAGCCTACTAACAGGACTATATATTCACTCAGAGTTTTACAAAAGAGACAATAAATTCAATTTACAAACTGTCAGCACCTGATTTGTGTCTGTAGTCGTATGCAATACTGCATCTGACTTGACTGAATATAGCAAAACCAATTTATTAGGCTCTACTGCTCAGTCACCTCAGACAGGTAAAAAGTTTGGGGAATGCACACGTCTTAAATGCTCTCAGAATACACATTCAAAGTCAAGGTGGACGACAATCGACATGAATTTCCCACATCCAAAGTCTATCAAAGTGACAGGCAGCAACCAAAAAAGGAGAAAAACTGAAGATGACAGGACAAGATGAGATCCCCATCAAAATTCCAATGGGGGCATCACGCCAAAACAATCTGACCTTTGGGGCACCAGATTAACCAGTTGGGTTTTTAAATACTCACCTTCCAGAAATAACAACCATCGGCGGCTTCCTCTGAACTCCTTTAGGTAAAACCTGTAGAACCACAAATAAACAGGAGTGAGTGGCAGGTGAAGATGAAGCAGCCATGTGTGGATCCTATCTAGCTTTTTAAAAAACACAGTGTAAATCAGCAAACTTACAACAAATGGGGGATGAAAAAAAAAACAAAAAAAACACAGAATTTGAAATCTCACCCTGCTGCTGTTCCATCATTACATGTAACTTGGGTATTCTTGAGGAAGTGGAGCCTCATGTCTTCTGTCTGTTGTCCAGCTGCTCGAGCTCCTGCAGCAGCCTCCTGTCCTGATTCAGCTGAGCCTCCAGCGCCTCTGGTGCTCCCAGTGCTTCCAGGAGTAGCATCAGCCACAGGGGGAGACTGGTCAACATCACGTCCTTGGTTCCCACTAGATTTCTTTGTGGTCTTGCCACCGGCTTTGGTATTGCGGTTATTCTGACACCAGATTCCCCCGAGCAAGAGCAAGAAAGCAACCTGGCCCAGTATCTTCATCTCTGGGGAAGCATAAAGAATAAGAAAGCAAGTGGTTAATTCAGGATTTACGCATATGCAAAATATGAAGAAAAAAAAATCACTGTTGCCAGGATCAGATGTTTTACTAGAAACAAATTTACCTCTCTAAGAAGAATCAGCTTTGAGGATTGCTGCTGAGGCACCCCTGGGGTCAGGTAGATTTCTGGTGCTGCTGAGGAGAGAGAGATAAGTTCAGAGCGCAGTGTCCAGGTGTGAGAGGAAGATGCCAGTCATGAGTCTAGATCAGGTTTTGATGAAGCCTGCAAATCAGCGAGGAGCTTTATAGTGCCACCATATGGATCAGATTTCCTCCTGTTTTTCTCTCGCAGCTCCTGCCGGGCCCTGAGATAAACTGCTGATGACACGCCACGAGGGGAGGTACCGGACGGCCAGTGGCGAGGAGAAAAGATAACACACGCATCTCTTCAACATATTTCAAGTCTTTGCACACACCCACCAGCGAGCGCTTTCCCAGATGACCACGGCTCAAGAACGAGCTCTCCTTGCCCCCTTGTCTCCTCTCTTTTCTTCTCCCTCCCACATTCGCACCTCTGATTGCCAGTTTTGTGATTTAAACGTCTACATGGTCAGCATAACTTCATAGCCACTTTGCATGGTATGTGACCCCGAGGTCATTGGAGCACACACCTCAAACACTTTCTGACACAGGAATGATTAGTACCGTAAGGTTCCCGCATGGTCAACGATTTAGCGGACACTGTCAAGACACAGATGGTGGACACACTTGTTGGTTGTGGAACTGTGCACAGTTTCTGTATTACTGGTAACAATAGAAGAGAAATCTGGGATCATTATTTCTCCAGACCAGCTTTCATGTGTCAATCCAGAATGGTGATTACATAACAAGCACAAGAGTTTGACTTTGTCTCATAAACAGAACAATACTTTCAATTTATTTTAACACACCTAAAATCTATATATAATATTTGAGTTAAATCAATTGTCAAGTAATTATTTAATGAGCATTTTCCAACTGATATAAAACAATATAGTTCTGCTACTATAATCAGCATACTCTTTCAGGTAGTTTGCTGTAATGCTTCAACTTTAAAATATCGGTTTCTGCTACACATCATGAGCGACTTGACTTGAGCAGATGTATTATTTTACAAACTCAAATGTTGCAAGAGTTGCATAATTATCAAACACATTTTTATGCAGAGGATACTGTTTGTTATTCAATTAATGAGTGTCAAGCACTTGAGAAATTCAGCTCCACTGTCATGCATTGCATTAGACTGTTCCTAACCCCAAACTGGTACCTAATGCAAAAATGCGCTATAAACTGATCCTGCAAGAGGCAAAGATTACAGTTGGAGGTGGATTGTTGAAGCAGTTTCTATAAAAATGTAATAGATATGCTGCTGCATTCATTCTGAGGCTCTTGGGTTCTGTTTCTATTCTACTCCTAAGCTCGTCACAGAAGATTTAAAACATTGTCTAAAAACTCGAAATGTTGAGTTGCAAAAGACATTAGGTCACTAGTTTGGATAGAAACTGTAAACTTTTGGTTCTTAGGTTGTTGTGCAGTGTTGGTAGGAGATCTTTACCCGCGGTTGTGTCCCTGTGCAGGTCGGTCTCTGCAGACTCCTGGATGGCAGGACAGGTTCGTTTGCCTTTGGTGATGGAAGCGACAGACTATTTGAAACTGATCTGTGACTGTCCCCCCTGGGATGGCTGTAGGGTGACGTACCACCGATCACCGAAGGATCACGAGCCCCAGAGCTCTAAAACTCTCATCAATGAAATGCACACCATCCCAAAGTGTCAATCACAGCCCATAATGGTTGCTTGGAAGGCCAGAGGCTGCAGGACGGCGCAGGGGTCTGCAGGGGCTGAAAAGACAGAGCAGAGCGGCTGCTGGTCTCAGAGTGACTTAAACACTGAAGAATAGAATAAATATATTCACACAAAACCAAGTTGGAGACTGGACACACTAAAAATGGCACACACAGTCCACAAAACCAGAAAAGGAGCTGTACAATTACTTCAATTTTAAAGGCACACATATAAAACCTTATAATTGGGTTAATTCTGAAATAAGCAGCAAAATGTTTGCATTTATTCTGGTATACAGATGACTATCACTTTTAACAAAAGAAAATCAAGATAATGAGGCATGTTGTCTGCAATAATCAACCAACCATTTAAAGACCTTTAAACAGGGCAGACAGATTTTGCAAGATTTGTCTTATTGCTTTGGCAGGAAAAAATGGTATTTTTGTCTCATTTTCAAGTACTCCATGCTATTTTATCTACTTTCAACTATGGCCAGAAAGAAAACAAAGCTACTCAAAAATATGTCTGTGAGATCGTATGCACCTACGCACAATAAAAATGTAGCCTAAGGCCTATACTGAATTTGATCTACCGAGCTGAACAATTCTTCATTCCTTCAGTTGTCTTGAAGCAGGCACACCACCATCTGTCTTCCCAGAAATCAATGCAACAATCTGTTTAACAGATACCTCAAATAGCTGAAAAACAAAAGAAGTTGCTGTAAATCTATCACTATTTCACCAGAATGTCACGAAGAGAGAAATGGCATTGCTGCTATTTTGTTTTTCTTTGATATGGGATTGGACAGAATGATACGTTTTTCAGAGCAGGCTTCAGATCAATGGATTAAAATAAATTTTTGTTCTAAACCTTCAGTGATTCAACTCCCAGAGCTTGTCAAACGGTGTCATTCTTCGCTTCACCACACTACCGCATGCACACACACACTAAAAGTGAGACCGGACACACTTCTGGAGTCTATTTGTTTCTTTACCTTTGAAAAACCACCATTTTGTATAACCCATAAGGGGCATATGAGACATGTTGAACTTCACCCTGACAGGGGCGACAGCTTGACCCCTTGAGCAGCATAGGAGGCATTCTTTCTCCCCTTGTGTTGTTATTTTACACAGCCAGCCTCCAAGGTCAGGACACCTAAAGCCCGGGTGGTCCGGGCACTTTGTCTGTTGAGCATGTGTGTCATCACCAGCCTCAAGAGCTGAGGGCCCGGCCGTGAGCTGGAATATTTGTCGGCTGATAGCTTCAAAGAACAACAAGCCAGAGACAGCCGTCATATGCTAGATTCTTATGCCCACACTACAGCACGGAAAGGTTGTGTCCCGTAGCTAACAAGTTCAAAATCCAGCCGTGTGATCAAACACACTGTTATCTGATAAGTAAACTTTAGCTTCCAAACTAGTCGAAATTCTTGCGTTGCAGCAACAATGGAAAGAACAAATCCTTTTGCAATGCTGTGATCCATGCCACAATCACACCTTGCAGCTCACCTTGTCATGTTGCGTGTAATTTGACAATCTGCAAGAGCATCACTTTGAATCTGTGTTGTCACCAGCAGTGGAGGGCATAGCTGGGGGAAAGAGTGCGGTGATTAATAGGAGATAAGAGTGGCATCTTTGCAAGCCACATGAAAACGAGCCTCAGGCAGGAGACATGAGACCTGGCCACCGTAACACTGCCAGAGCACTCCATTCAATCAGTGAGGGCGACAGACAGAGTCTTAGCGGGATCGGTGTAAAGTGCTGGGTCGCTGCAGGAGGCTGGCAGGTGGGGCGGATGAAACTATCCCTAAAACCAGGTGTTAAGAGGCCTTGCGTGGTAACCTTCTGCAAACTGCCAATGCATCACGGTGATAGATGGAGGAGGGGTCGATGGCAGGGATACAAGGTGTTGGATTCAAGGAGGGGCGGGTGGGTGCAATGTAAGGCACAGAGAAGGAGAGATGACAAATGAATACATTTGGTGAGAGGCTGCAGCTCGTTCTGATGAAAACCTCACAACCAACTGTGTGCGCCTGGCTGGCGTGCCAGACACACCTTTATCCTGGCAGAATATGTACAGCACTGAGCACGAATGCCGCAACACAGTCAAAGATGTGTAAAGGACAAACTTGGAGATCAGAAGAGCAATAGCATCACGTCACAGCAGTATGTGCAGATTTGAACAATTGAAATATTCAGGTGATGCATCTTGCATATACATGCAACTTGATTGGACAGTTTAAGAATAAACAGGTTGGGGAAAGAAATGTGCAACTTAATATTTAGGCTATTTTTCTACTGGACTGCATTGGTTCTTTTTTGTTTGCTATTGAAATTCTTACATGTAAAACCAAGAACCAAATAAATGAGAGTCTAACTTTCCAATTTACTCAGGTTCTGCATTCATCGGTTCACAGCCTTTGGTCCTCTTACCTAAGTGGGCCACTGGTTCTGACAGTGAGTATATTGGTGGGGTGTGGTGGTGGGGAGCATACTGTGCGAGAGTTGATAGTCTAAAGTGTCTTTTGGGCTTATGACACAGTGGAGCAGCTACGTGGCCTTGGAGTCATGCTGGATGAACCACCAGGCCTGTCAGTGCATTGATGGATACCAGTGGAGGGGGTCACGCCATGCTCAACAATAGGTCCTTCACATAAGTCCTACCACCTGATCGACAAACTATCGCACAACAAAGAGTGGAAACAATTGTGTAAAGCCCCATCTGATGGGAAGAGACACACAAATTTCACCTTGATGTGTAGTTGCCGATTAAATATGATGGTTTAATCAAATTTAGCTTGGATCTTTAGTATCTAGATACTTTTGCACACTATGTTTTGCTAGATTCATAAATCACAATCAAATATAGGATGAATTACAGAAAATAGAGATAAAACCTTATACTGTTTGACTATACGCTGTGCAACCATAAGATACTACAATGTACTTCAAGTTACGTTGATAATCTATAAAATACTCTAGAGTAAGGTGCAGGATTCTCCTTGGATGTGAAGAATTAGCTGTCCTTTGTAGGTATGGTAAAAACTAAATGTCCCAGAAATCAGTTTACCCACTAAGGAGTGTAGACATGATTTGCACAAATCGTGAAGGTTTGCATGACTAAAGAGTTACTAACTAATGCAGCTTCACTAGCACAGCAGAGCTTTAGGCTAATTGTTGGCATGAGTATGGTGACATCCACACAGCGATGTTGGAAACATGAATGACTACACAGTTTTGAACCAGTCAATAAAGTAGACATAAAAATATTTTACAAGATAAGTAAACTTACTGATGGTGTAAAAGGGGAAAATTTGCGAATCACGAATCAGAAAATTATCCATGAACAAAATTTCATAATGATCCTTTAAAAATTTGTTGAGATTTTTCAGTTGGACTTTGAGCCAAAGTCTTCAATGGACTCCACAATCTGAAAATGTTTCTGC